AAAGGAGACAATTAGGATTGGGATAGCTGGAAGGGAGGATTGGATCTTGGGGTGGGGGAGGCAGTTGGGATACGAGTCCCCAGTTTTAAGTGTTCCAGTGGGAGGAGAGGGGGAAGCCAACGGGGACCAGAGAGTTGATTGGAGGTATCCATGTTCTGTGATGCCTCTCACCTTCCCATGGCTACTGGTGACTCAGGTAAGAGGATTCTCTACATAGATGACATTGGATCATCCTCTTCTCCTAAATCTGAAACTCTGGGTAACAAAGCTTGGGGCTTGTTTTGAGAGGTTGTGGATCCCTAGAATTAGACCACTGAAGCTAGTTAGGACTGCTGAGTGACCCAACTCATCCCTCTTGCTGCTCTGAGGCTGGCAGCTACGTCATGGAGAATTTTCCTTCCTACCCTGCTGGAGCTTGGGAACCATGCTCCCATGATGTCCTCTTTCAGCTACTTTATTTCTCTTTGGAGACTCCTTTTCTATTCCATGTGCCCAGGACTGGAGGTTGAGGTAGAAGAAGAGAGAGAGGTAGGGCACCAGGACCTCCAATGCCCAGGATATTTCTGACAGGGACAGATGGCTCCTTTGGGCTGACTTCCTATAATTCAAAGGTATCATACCCATACTTCCATGCTTAGCCTTCAAGAACCCTCATCTAGGCCTCCCTGCATTGGCTTATCTCCTTATCTCTGTATGGGTCTCTCCTCTCTTAAAGTCTCTTGCTTTACCTAGTCCTGTCCCAATGATTCTATTTCCTTTCACTACTTTGGTACATACTCAAATTATTGTACAGCACAATTTGCATGTTACTCTCTACAAAGATAAAATGAACACAAGAAAGCTTGGATTTCTAAAACTGATGATTAATCTATGTGGAGGAGGATTCTCTACCCCATGATACCTCTCCAGTGATGAGCCCCCTTCCTTGCTCTGGAAATTATTCAATTTACACTTGACTTTGTAGAGCCCAGCTCTTTCTGTCCTCCTCACTCTTGGGAATATTCCTCAAGGGCCCAGGGGCTTCATCTCTGACTAAAGGCTTGCTGCTAGTCTTACCTGCTCAAATAGACTCAAGCCCAAGACAGGGAGGCAGGTGTAGACCAGGTTGTAGAAAGTGATAAACCAGGTATCATAAACTGTCTGGAAGGATACCAAGGAGATTTCTTAGATTCTACTCTTCTCCAAAGTCCCAGCTCCACCTCCCAGGTCACAGGCAGCCCTTTCTCGCCACGCCCCCCCCCCCCCCCCCCAGTGGGCGCCCCTTCCCCCCCCCCCCCCCCCCCCCCCAATTATCCATCACTACACTAATTTAGAGTAGGATTTGAATTTCAGAAATCTGAGATGGCTGACTCCAGTCTCTATTGGTCCTACTCTACCTAGAACTCTGGCTACCAGACTGAGGCAAGGCTATATCAAGCTTGTTTGTGGCCAACCTTATGAGGTTGATTTGGACCATCCCTACCATGACTTGCACTGCCTCCTCCCTGCACAGAAAGGATCCAGAGGGTGCTAGGGAATGCTAGTTATACCCCTCAGGAATGTAAACCTTTGGGCTTCTTTCTTTATCTGCTTTATGGCATTCAGTAGCTTCTATAACACTGGACACTTTCTAACATTGGCAAGCAGGATAACCTACTGACTTTCCCTATCTAGGTGCTCCATCCTAGGGCCTAGAGAGGGCTCCTTTCCTTACTAGCCACAAGAGGTCAGCAGCAACACATACATGCACATACCTACACCTTCCACAAACCAGACCTGCTTTGTTAAACACTGCAGGTACACAAGTCTACTACTGTCTGCTGACTAGTCCTTTTCTCCTGGAGCCTAAGGCAGCAGAGGTAGTAGGGATCTCCCAAGAGAATTATTCCGGAGGTTGTTTCTCTTGGGAATCTTTGAGAAACTCCTGAGTAGAAATGCCAGGTGTAGATGGTGCCTAGCAACAGGCAAAACTACAAGCCCTTGCACATCCACTCCCTTAACTATTAACCCCTGGAGATGACATCTAGCCTTCAGCTGTGTTTCAGTTTCAGAGCCAGAAAAGTAGCAAAACCAGACGCTATAGCTGACATCAGGACCAGCTGCATGACTAATGACCCACCCTCTGCTCTAGTGATGACCAATCAGTGGAGACCATGATGCTGAGGAGACACACCTGGAAAGCTGATGAATCTACCTCCAGATAAAAGCCCTCAGGATGGAGGACCCAGTGGGGCTCTCTCTCTGGAGCACACCCAAGCCCTGCCCCTCCCCTCTCCCCCCAGGTGCTCCAAGAGCCCTTCTTTTGTCTCTATAACTTGATCCTGAACCCATTTCTTCTACGGCTCACTACTGCTACCTCTGAGACGTTCTAAATAAACTGTCTCTTATAGTTTAAAAAAATCATTAGAACAAAAATAGTGTGTGGGTTTTTTTTGGAGGGGGTTCTTGGGTTAGGGAAGGAGAAATAAAGGAAAGCTGTGTTTCCAAGTATGGCTATAGGTGAACACCATAACCAGCCTGCTGGCAAGACCCAGAGGCCTCTTGAGGCTTAGCCTGTTCCATAAAGATTACTTTGAATGCTTAAAAAAATAGGAAGGAAGAAAGAAAAAACTCCCATTACATATGTTTGGAAACTCTAGGTCTCTGTCAGGAAAAAGTTGAAAATATCTTATGGGAGAATTCTGAAGGTAGGAGTCAAGGCCAAATCAGAGCCAGGCCAGATAAATTAGGGCTTGGAAATCTAAGGTGAAGTGTAGGGTTCGGAGATGGGATGGGCATTGGTGAGGAGCTTTACAGATGGATGGCAGCATGTCAGACATTTGGTCTCTGGAGGAGAAAAAGTCTCAGCTGGCTGAAGTGGGGATGACAGAGCAGACCCCGTTTACCAAAGTGGGAAATACCACCTGACCTCCTACCTGTGCAGAGAACCCGTTGTAGAAGGAATACCAGAAGTGCAGCAGAGTGAAGGTAAAGTTTTTGTAAAAGAAGTAGCTGAGAAACTTGCACATGCGATTATAGGACCAGCGGCCGTGGACCAAGAGTAGACGCTGGAGGTAGTGGAACTGGGAGAAGGTGAAGTCGCTGTTGAGCACGGCCTGCATTCCCTCCTGGCCACTGATACCGACCCCAATGTGGGCAGCTGCAAAAGAAACCCCAGAAGCTTCTCAGTCACAGAAGGTGAAAGTGTACAAGGCAGGCCGAGGTCGTGTTGTACAAATCCCTTATTTCACATTTGGAAAACAGTTAGACGCAGCTCACAATGGCACTTAGGGGAGCCTTTTCTCCTTAGCGGGCTGCCCCCCAAGTCAGAGAACAGCTCCTTCGTCTGCACTGTTTTGGGTGCTGCTGCTCAAGAAGGCCTGTCATGTCTGGTTTTAGAAATGGTCTTGGATGGTTTTTGCACCTACTACAGCCATCTGGGCTCTGTCTTACTGTACAGATGTTGAGGTAAACATTTCTTCATATCTCTTGAAGCCACTTAAATCAATTAGAAATGCAGGATGGATGCCAATCTAACACAATATTTAATTATCTGAATTTATCTAAGCAGCTAAAATCCACCTGTTGGGAGGAATAAGTGATCTATTACTTTGGTACTATTCTTCAGGAAGTCTAAGGTGACTTTTTCTGGATAAAGAAGATAACATGGAAGTTCCTAAAACTTTTTATTTATTTATTTATTTTTAATTTTTTATTTTTTTAAAATATATTTTATTGATTTTCTACAGAGAGGAAGGGAGAGGGATAGAGAGTTAGAAACATCGATGAGAGAGAAACATCGATCAGCTGCCTCCTGCACATCTCCTACTGGGGATGTGCCCGCAACCCAGGTACATGCCTTTGACCGGAATCAAACCTGGGACCTTTCAGTCCGCAAGCCACTGAGCCAAACCGGTTTCAGCAATTCCTAAAACTTTTTAATTAGTCTGTTGTAGTGTAGGTCAAATTCATTGATTTTTCTGACACAAAACTATTGCATTGCTTAATGGATAATTAAAAACTCTAAGGTCCTAAAAAAGATACATTCTAGAAACTGGGGGAGAGAGAAAGAAACTTCCTAGTGGAATATCTGCTAGTGTTTCCTGTATGGAGGGAGGCTGGACTGGAGTACCTCAAGATGTTGTCCATATCTCACAGAACTACAAGCTGCTGGAGGCTAACAACATTCAGCTGAAACTAAAACCAGTTTCAGGCATCTGTTTCTATTGGTCCAAAGTATCAGTGAGTCTGCTATTCTCTTCCAGCCAGAGGAGTCAGGGCAAGCTCTCTAGAACACCGCCTTAGGGCAGAAAAGATCCCTGCATTGGGCCTCACAGTTAATTCCATGGTTGGGCGGCCTGTCTTCAGCCTAACTTTGCTCAGGCCTAAAGCCTTCAAAAAAGGAACAGATTATGACTTCTGTCCAGGGGTCCTTTCTGTGGGCTTTGATGCCATCTCAGAAAGATAGTGTGGTAGTAGCACAGCCTGTTCTGTGTATATATGCATGGTTTCTTGTGGGAGCTATGTGTATCTATATGTGCATAAGTGTTAAGGAAATGAATCTAAATGTGCATACATACCTCTGGGTATGGGCTGATGTATATATAAATGGGAATGCAGGTATAGAGGAGCATGAATGTAGTTGAAAAACAGTACCAATGTACAATATATATGGTATAGAGGAGTGTGAGCCAGTAACACAGTGTCACCCAGATCAGTTTTGCCAATAGAGGAAGGAAAGGGCAAGCCTGGGGGCTCACATGCCTTTGATCATGCTGACGTCATTGGCCCCATCCCCGATGGCCAGTGTCACCACCTTCTTGTACTTCTTCACCAGCTCCACCACCTGGGCCTTCTGAAGGGGTGTCATCCGGCAGCAGATCACCCCCTTGCACATGCATGCTGCTCGCAGCAGTTCCAACTCCAGGTTCCCTTCTAGAGCACAGGCCTGCAACACCAGGGCACACACACATTTCAGGCTGCCCAAAAAGGTTCTCAGGACAGGACCTTCCTAGGCCCCTCCCCTCCCCTCCATACTCTCCTGTACTACAGAGAGAGGTCAGGCACACCTGTTTCCAAGGTGCTCTACTCCCAAGGGTTCTAGGCACCCTCACATCTGACCCTGCCTCCAGCAGGAAACCAGTCAGGGTCTCACTGGGTCTAATCAGTTGACTGGGCTATAAAGCCAAATTTCTTTTTGGAGGACCTGGTTCTGCTCACTTCCCCCATCCCGCTAAGTGACAGGCCACATCAGTAGTAAAGAATTTGGATAAGGAAGGAATGTGCTCTTGGCTTTTCCCCCCTCGTTATTCCTGCCTAGAGAAGGCTTGGGAAAGGTGCTTGTCAGGCAAGGGCACCTGAAAGGAGGGGGAATGGGGTGACTCATGGGTCTTGAAATTTCCCTGAAGTGGGCTGGACCTAGGAAACAAGTTCCTTGGGGGAAGAGAACAGAGCTGTAGCTCTGTGTTGCCCACCAGACTGTAGCCATGGATGATCAAGCCATAGTTGCCACTGGGCTCCTCCTCAGGTATCCTGAAGGGCATTTTGGGCTTCGTAGCAAGGTAACTGTTTATTGGGTCTGAATCCAGTAGAGACTCAGGTTTCATCTTGTACAACGCTGACCTGAAAACCAAGAGGAGTGGTCAGTGTCTGACCTGAAGCCCCAGAACTTAGGAAGGAAAATGTGCCCCAGAGTGAAAGTGGGCAAGATGGACATAGAGCCTCTGAAAAGCACCAGCCAGGATGTCTGACTTGAGACCTGCCACTGCCTTAGGTCCCTGACCATTCACACACCACACTCCACCTCCCCACCCTACCCCCACACTTCAGCCTCTTGAACCCTAACGCTTAGTCACAAAATTCTCTCAAATATTTTAGGTTTTTTGTTTTTCCCTTCCTCCATTTCTCTTCTATTCCTCCTGGTAGTGTGGGGGTCATATTGGGTGAGGAGGTGGGTGGGAACTCTTGGGAACTCCAGGGACAGGCTGTGGCAGCTCTCTCATCTATACCTGAGTTCTTTTTCAACAGTCTCATCATCCTTGCCTTCCACGTAAAGCAGCCCATCCATTTCATCCTCAAATAGGTTACAGGCATAGGCAATGTTCACAGCAGTCTCTGCAGGGAAGGGGGAACACAGGTCACACTTTCACTAGAACAGGGTGTTTTCACAGTATACAGTTACACAGACACTAACAGTGGGCCACAGAGCCCATTTGTCCACAGTTGCCATGGATGCAAAGTGCACTTTTCACGAGTCAGTGGAGACCATACTCAAACATACACAGAAGACTGTCTACTTTAGGTAGAGACCTGTGAGTTACTTATTGGTAACTAGAATTATTCTGGCTTAGCCTTTTCTACAAAGCCTTCCCGTTTCTTAAAGCAATTGCAGTTTGTATCCACTTCTCCAGGCAATCAGGATATAGAACTGTGCACATTTCTATGCTGGATTTTATGAGAGACTGAGATATTTAGGTTGTAGTCTTTCCTTTACATCAAGAAATCTGAAACTCAGAATAAATTCATACTAAAGAAAAAAATTAAGTCCTGAACCCTGGCTGAAAGTGGTATTAATAGTCAGAGGAGAGTTGCAATTGTCAGAAAAACTTTCTTGGAGAAAGGCTTTGAGGATGAATAAGACTTGTCTAGGGGAAGAAAAACATTTCAAATGGGGAAACAATTCCAACAGAGGCGCTAGAGGAAAATTCGTTTGTTTTGGGACATATTAGAGATAATGGTTGCATTAGGATGGACATTAAGGATGTGTAGGCAACAGATTATCAAGGTCTGCAGGGCCAGACAGTCGAGTCCAACTACCATGTCGAGCCACTGTAGGGACACGAGCAGAGGAGTAACATCATAAAAGTAGAATGTTTTAGGTTGTTTGCAGGTTATACTAAAATGAGTAAGGGCAAGAAACAGAGACCAGTTCAGAAGTTTTTGCAGAAGTTCAGCCAGCAGGGGACAAAGGCCGAACTAGGGTGGTGATATAGCCAAGAGGATTTTCAGAGGAACTGATGAGACATGGTGAGAGAATGAATCTTTGGAACAACAGAGAGGGTATAGTCAAAGACAACTCTAGAATTTTTAGCTTGGGAGCTCCTGGATGACAGACAGCTGTGTCCTCTGCCTAATACAGCAACTAGCATAAAGTATGTAGTTAGCAAATTGTATGTAAGACTGGAATTGTCCTAATGGACTTGACCTGGGTTATAAGGTATTTTTCAAATAAATGAATAAAAAAAAAACAACTGGAAGAAATGGCTAAGGTGGATAGGGGACATGATTGGTCAGGTGAGGTACTCCCCTTTACCTTGCTTATCTCCAGTTAAAACCCAGATTTTAATTTTGGCTTTGTTCAGCGTTTTGATGGTCTGAGGTACTTCATCTTGCAGCTTATCTTCTATGGCTGTGGCCCCTAAGAGCTTCGAACAGAGATAGCAACGAGTGAAGAAAAAGGAGAGTCACAGCATTTAGTGCTACCCAACAGTTCAGTGGGCACTTCAGCATCCTCTGTAGTGAGCTGGCCCTGTCCTGGCATGAGGAACCCAATACTACAAAACTCAGCACACTCCACCTCTCAACAGATGTAGCTTTTCAACCACATGCTGAAATCAAATTTGGAAACACAGAGTATTAGGGACCAAAGAGGGAAAAGACTTGCCCAAGTCACACATGCTGTGTGCCACTTCTAAACCATTTGTTTCTCAACAGACTTTCACTTCTCCCTGGATTCACAGCATGCTTCCAGGATATTCTGAATTAGCTTGGATTCAGCCTCCAGTCTCCAGAGAGAGCCTGAGCGATTGCTTTGCTGGCAGCCACTCTCAGAGCCCTTGCTCAGTTGGCTGACCGCCATCCCCCATTGTCTGCCCCTGGCTTCTTCCCACTAACCATCAAGTCTTTTTCGACCTCTTCATAGATACTTGATATTTTACTTTCCCGATCCTCCAAACAAAAGCAGATTTCACTGTGTTTCCTGTACCAGGCACGGAAGAACGACTTGTCCAGTTCTCGGTAGGCCACGACAAGGGTGCGAAGGCCTTCACTGGCAAATTCCTGGAAGACACATATGTGCACTGAGTGGACCTGGGCTGGGTTAGGGCTAAGTCCAGGGAGCGGCAGACTGACGCCACAGGCCCCATCTGTCCGCAAAACAGGGTTTAATGGTTAGTACCATGGGGCAAGTACCTACCCTAACCAGAAAGCAACTGCTGAGCTTTCTCAGAAAAATGTCTTAGGGATTGGGCCAGCAGTACTAGTAGGGGGTAAAGTTTGAGAATACTGACAGAAAGTTTTAGCTTCTATCTGTAATTAGCTAGTTTGCCGTGTAACCATAGGAAAAACCAAGCCTTCTAGATTTATTTCTTGTAAAATTCAGCCCCTACAGAGAAGTTAATGATGTTTATAATATGAAAATGGAGTAAAAAGAAAAACGTTGTTATAAAAAAAACACACAAAGGTATTTCTATTTTCGACAAGCATACATTCATTTTATTTTCCTGTCTCTGACTTCCTTCATCAAGTATTCAATAAACATCTCAAATAGCACACATATTACGTATTTGTCTATAGCTGGTTGACTCAGCAGTGTTAGTGAGGCCACTACTGAAGTGTTTTCTGGGTGAAATAGCATCTTTTTGCTCCATGGCCACTGAGATATATCCTAACCATAGCTTGCTGTCTTGCAGAAGTATACTCCTGGTCACAAGGAGGGCTGTGTGAGAATGTGGGTGGTGTAGGGTAGAACTCAACTGAGGGTGGGTCAGAAGCAGATTTTGTGTATTGAGAATTGCACATGAATAACAATTCTACATGATCACTGTTACAGTGAGCTTCAAAACAATTCACTTTTGCATTATAAGAGCAAAGAGAAATAGAATTTATCATCTTGATATTTTGCTCGTAGTTCTCTGTGTAACTCCATAGTAGTGCTTGATGTTAGCTATCAGGTGAAATTAACATAAGGCAGTATATGTAAGGAATGCCATCTTTTAAACCTCTGTACTGTTGGCAGGTGAAGCTATGAAACATAAGTCTGAGAGAAGATCTTAGAAACTTCTTAACAAGGAAAAAATATGGCAGAAACTGATTTTGCATAGGATACTGAGAACAGGAGTTGGCAAGCTTAACAATACACTGACAGGTTATTTTTTTAAAATATGTATTTTTTATTGATTTCAGAGAAAAAGAGAGGGAGGGAGGAACATCTATGATAAGAGAGAATCATTGATCAGCTGCCTCTTGTACACGCCCCACTAGGGATCAAGCCCACAACCTGGGCATGTGCCCTTGACCGGAATTGAATCCAGGACACTTCAGTCCACAGGCCAATGCTCTATCCACTGAGCCAAAATGGCTAGGGCCACTGACAGATACCCTTCAACAAATAATTTAGCAGCCCGTGTCAATGTCAACAGTATTTCTTATTATCCCTTCTGTTTTACTTTTCTCTTCTGGTGGGCAAACTAGGGCTCTGGGGCAAAATCCTGACTGCCACTTATTTTTGTATGGCCTGTTTGCTGATCCCTGTCCTAGAGGTCCTAGAACTATGCTTCTGCATGTGTATGTTTTTGCAGCTCAACTCATAGGTTTATCTTCAGTGGTTAATAGATTGTAATGTAGTCAGGCTCCACTATGGGGGGTTTCTGTTAGGTTGGTATAGGAAACAGGTCAAAAGATCTGAAACCATTTTATGACCCCCTCCGAAGCAAGTCTGTGGAAATGCTAAGAAGATAACCTAATTCATGTGTTCTGGAAGGTTAAAAGATAAGAGTTTTCAGACAAGCCCATAAAAAATACTGTGGCCTCTTGGAACCAGTGTAAGACATAAAAACCATCCTGTGTGGGATACTTAGCCAACTTTTATTTTTTTTAAATATGTTTTTTATTGAGTTTTAGAGCAAGAGGGAAAGGAGAGGAATACAGAGATAGAAACATTGATGAGAGAGAAACATCATTGATGGGCTGCCTCCTGCACCCCCCCCCCCCCCCCCCCACGAAGACTGGCTTCTTGGTTCATGAGTCGATGCTCAACCACTGAGCCACACCAGCTGGGCTTAACCAACTTTAAAAACACTTGAGATAGCCCAAACCAGTTTGGCTCAGTGGATAGAGCGTCGGCCTGCGGACTGAAAGGTCCCAGGTTCGATTCCGGTCAAGGGCATGTACCTGGGTTGCGGGCACATCCCCAGTGGGAGATGTGCAGGAGGCAGCTGATCGATGTTTCTCTCTCATCGATGTTTCTAACTCTCTATCCCTCTCCCTTCCTCTCTGTAAGAAATCAATAAAATATATTTAAAAAAAAAATAAAAACACTTGAGATATAATGTAGATAACATAAAACTCAGTCTTTTGAATTATACAATTCAAGTTTTTTAAAAAAAACTTATCCATAAAGTTGTGCAACCATCATTAGAATCTAACTCCAGAACATTTTCATCACCCCCGAAAGAAACCCCATTAGCATCATTCTCATTCCCTTTCCTCCAAAACCCGGCAACCACTAATCTACTTTCTGTCTCTACACATTGGCTATTCTGCACATTTTATATAAATGAAATCATACAACATGTGGCCTTTTGTGACTGGATTCTTGCACCATGCTTTCAAGGTTCATTCACATTGTAGCATGTATGAGTATGTCATTCCCCACCGCCTCCTTTTTTAAAATCCTCATATGAGGACATATATATTGATTTTAGAGGGAGAGGAAGGAAGAGAGAGAGAAACAATGTAAGAGAAAGATCAATTGGTTGCCTCCTGTATGTACCCTGACTGGGATCAAACCTGCAACATTTCGGTGTATGGCACAATGCTCCAACGGAGAGTCACAATGGCCAGGGCTATGTCATTTCTTTTTGTGCCTAAATAATTCATTGTATGGATACACCACATTTTGTTTATCCACTCATCCACTGATGGGCATTTGGGTTGTTTCTACTTTTTTGCTATTGTGAATAATGCTGCTATGAACATCTGAGTATAAGTTTCTGTTTGGATGTATACTTTTATTTCTCTTGGAAGTATGCCTAGCAGTGGAATTGCTGGATCATATAATAACCCAACACCTAATATTATCAAGAACTTCCAGACTGTTTTCCAAAATGGCTCCATTATTTTATATTCCCATAAGCAATGTGTGAAGGTTAAAATTTCTCTATGTTCTTGTCAATACTTATTATTGTCTGGTCATCTTTGTTATTTCACCTACCCCAGTGATGGTTTTGATTTGCATTTTTTTGATGGCTAATGACACTAAATATCTTTCATGTGCTTATTGGCCATTTTTTCTGACTTCTGACTATGTGTTAATATAGAGTCAAGCCAAAATGGCCTAAATAGCATTTTCTCTAATATATTGCCTCTTTAAAATATTTTTTTCTAATTTACCTTTTCCTCATCCCATTCCCTCTCCTATTCCCCCAACCCTCTATATATCCAGGTAGAAGGGTAGAAACCCCAGGGAATATGGATCTAGTTTTCCTTTCTAGTGCCAGCACACTGGAACCACTCTCTGATATATCTCAAATCCAAGAGGTTGGATGTGGAGTGGGGTAGGTAGAGGGGAGGTAGCCTTGGGGATTCTAATTCTGTAGTCAACAGAGGATGGTATCAAACAGTTCCCTAAACAGCTCAGGCCTAGTGCTTTCTGCTCCATATCCTAAAAACAATCAGATCTCATCATGGCTGGTGGGATGGGGCCTCCCACACCAGCAGACCTATTCTGAAGCAAATTCTAGGTCTGACCATGAGACCTCCAAAGCCAGGAATTAGAACTATTCTGATTGTGGTAAGTGGTCCCACCGACATAATCTTGTTATGCTCCTGGGATCCTGTGCCATCCATCTCCTTGACAATGTGGTCAGTGAGAATCCCACAGATTGAGGTAGTTTTTATTCTTCCATCAATTAAAGAGACACAGACACTAATATACACCCATATAGAAACACAACAGAGGGACACATGTGGATACATATTCAGGTACACAGAACCACCCTCAGCTTCCCTCCCCTACAACCTACACACTTACATCTAAATGTTCCATGGTCACATCTCTGAGGGGTGTACAGGATGGAAGAAGCAGCTGACAAAGGATGGTGTCTGCTCCCTTGCAGAACAACATTATCCGATCTTCAGGTGTCTTCACTAAGAATAAGCAAATCAAGCAAAGTAACCATATAGGTCCACTGTGAGAAGAACTTGTCTGGGCCACTGAGGGATAGCAGGATAAGTGATGTGGTGAAGGCTGGTGAGAATGAGAGAGCACTTTATGGAACCAGTTCTTCCATGGGTTAAATATCACCTGTGGAAGACTGATGCAGATGCACATTTAGCTTCCCCAGTCTGAGTTCCATACTAAGGCTCACACCTAGTAATGACCAAGGATGAAGAATGACCCGAACTAATTGAGCAAAAGACAGTATAAATTTCCCCTATATTTCTGCCCCCATCTCTTACTCCAAGTCCAGTCTTTATGGATTTATGCTCTGTTTTTATCTTAGTTTTAAGGGTTTTTTACAAGGCATTACTCAGGAACACTAAAGAAGGGCCCTTGTATATGGTAGCAAGCCCCCTTTGTGTTTAAATATAAAGATATGTAACAGAGAAAGTGGAAATGGCTATGCCTTAGTATTTGAGGCATAGTACCTGTGAGAAGGCATGTGGGTGGGAGAAAACACGTATGTGTAAAGAGAGACTCAATGTGTAAAAGTATATGAAAGACAAATGAGGAGAGAGGACCTACTGGGAGGGCCACCTACCAATAACAGACATCCTCTTGCGCACATTGCTGAAGTCCAAAATAGCCAGCAGGCGGTAGATTATGGTTTTTCCCATTTCGACTACCGTGATTGTCTCAGGCGAACGGGAACGCAACACAAAGCCAAAGTTCCTGGCAGCAGTAACCAAGGCACCTTCATCTGGGGACTGAGCCTGGTATACCAGCTCACCTGGCAGGAGAGAAGAGAGCAGCCAAAGCCCAGAGAGGTGCAACTGAAGTCCACCCACAAGTAACACTGTCTTCCAAATGGTTTACATAAAGATGGCGCCCAAGAGGGGGCATTTTTCTTTAAAAATTCCTCATAGTTTGGCCCTAAAAGGCCAGGCTGTATAGAACAAGTCAAATTGTTTTCTTTCCAATATTTTCAACTCATTTCACAGACATGAGTTAGTATTACAGAGGTACATGGTACATGCAATGTATACAGATGAACAAAGACATAGGTAGTTATTTTCCATCTTTAGTGGATAAAGATGGCCTAGGGGGCTTGTTAAAAATGCAAGTTTCTTGACCTACCCAAACTTACTAATCCAGAATCACAAAATCTCAGAGAAGGACCCAAGAAATAGAATTTTCAACAGATCTCCTGAGTTTCATGCAGATGGTGCCGCATAAAGTGCTCCTACATAAGACTGGCCAAACTTTAAATAAATACTGCTAGAGGGTAATAATATTGATGGTTTAATAAACAATTTAAAAATATATATGAATGAGTATTGTCATCTTTGAAACTCTCACCTTGGGAAGCTAAATGACTTACTTTGTCCAATTAGTCTTTCAATCTGATATTACTCAAGATATTTCTTGAGTTCCTCTTTTAGTTCCTCTTTCACTACAACCTGAGATATATTTTGGATTACTTATCTTCTGAAGGACAATTTAATTTTTAAAAACAGTTATTCATAATCAGTCTTATACTTGTGAATGAGGTAGGTGGGGAGTATAATTTCAGGTCAGCCATAAGGTATATCTATGGGACAATAAGACTATTTTCTAGTGTATTTCCTTGTCATTCAAGGTATAGTAAACAAAGTCCAAATATGCTTCAAGCAATAGCAGCTTTTGGAATGTGAGACCTGGAGAGGTGGGGTGGGAGCTCATGGGGTCAGGAGATGTGAAATTTGGGTTCCTATCTCATCTCTGCTATTCTTATAGGGTTTTAGAAAAGTCCTTTAATTTCTTTTAGCTTCAGTTTCCTTGAAAACTAGGTTCATTTTTCATTTTCTGCTTACCTCAGAGGGCTGTTGTAAAGATTGTAGGAGATAATATAAATGAAAACAATTTCTAAAACTGTAAAGTAATCAAGTAGAAGTATTATATAAAGAGTATATTAACTTTAAAGGATGTGATTTATTCAGTTGCTTAAGTTCTTTTTTGTTAAGAAAAAAGTCTCCTTTTTAAAAAAATATATTTTATTGCTTTTTTTACAGAGAGGAAGGGAGATAGAGAGTTAGAAATATCGATGAGAGAGAAACATCGATCAGCTGCCTCCTGCATATCTCCTACTGGGGATGTGCCTGCAACCCAGGTACATGTCCTTGACCGGAATCGAACCTGGGACCTTTCAGTCCGCAGGCCGAAGCTCTATCCACTGAGCCAAACCGGTTTCGGCAAAAAAAGTCTTCTTCATTGGTCATTTCTCATTGTTTCTAAAAAAGGTTTGGGTAAATTCCTGGATAATATAGTTATACAGGGTGGAGCAAAAGTAGGTTTATAGTTGTTTGTATAGAAAATAATACAATAATAAATGATAAACAAGAATAAACTGTGTTTCACATATCCACATCTACTGTTGCCCCACCCTGTATTTCATTACTAAAGAAACTAGGATATGTGGGGATACCTTTATTTTTTTTTATTTTTTAAAATATATTTTATTGATTTTTTAGAGAGAAAGGGAGAGGGATAGAGAGTTAGAAACATCAATGGGAGAGAAACATCAATCAGCTGTTTCCTGCACACTCCCTATTGGGTATGTGCCCACAACTAAGGTACATGCCCTTGGCCGGAATTGAACCTGGGACCCTTGAGTCCGCAGGCCGACGCTCTATCCACTGAGCCAAACTGGTTAGGGTGACACCTTTAAATTATGAAGTAACAAAAGGACAATTCTATTCACCTTTCAGGAAGTCTTGTCAGAGACGGTGGGACTGATCTTGGGGACAATTCAGATGGACTCTATGACAGAATATCACATATTCTCAAGATCAGAAGCTCCCTAGTCTGACCCCTATCCAATGATTGAATCTTCTTTAAGACCAAGAGATTGTTTTCTACTTGAATATCTCCAGTGACTAAGAGCTCACTACTTATCTTGACTATCCATTCCATTGCTGGGTAAGACTTCCTATTAGAAAGTTCTTTCTTAGCCCTGACTGGTATTGCTTAGTGGTCAGAGCATTGGTCTGTGCATTGTACGGTCATGGGTTCAATCCCTGACCCCGGTCGGGGTGCATGTAAATGGTAATTAATTGATGTGTCTCTCTCACCTCTCTCTCTCTCTGTTTCTCTCTCTCTCTCCCCCTTCCCTCCCACTCTCTTTTAAAAGCAATGGAAAGGAGAGAACCAAGATGGCGGCATAGGTAAACACCGGAAATTGCTGCCTCCCACAACAAATTAAAAAATACAACTAAAAGACAAAACGGACATCATCCAGAACCACAGGAAGGCTGGCTGAGTGGAAATTCTACAACTAGAAGGAAAGAGAAAAGCACACAGACTCAGAGGAGGTGCGGAGGTGGAGTGCAGAGGTACGGAGGCACATGCGGCAAGGGCTGGCAACTGAGGATGCGGCTGTCTTTTTGAATCGGGAGGGAGTCACAAGCCCCCGACTGCTCTGAACTCCAGTTCCGGGTGCCTCTCTGGGGACCTAGACTCATACGGGGAGAAACTGGACTGTCTGGCAGCGGGCAGAACTGGGAACTTGAGGGCAGCTTTCTCTCAAAGGTGCCTGCAGCGATTACCGGGACACTGAGATGCCGGGCCTCTTAGGGCAGGGCTGAGGATCAGCCATAGCTGCTTGCTCCGCCCTGTTGATCCCCTGAGACCCCGCCCCACCCAAGCTG